TATGTTAGGGATATTCCTTGAAAATTTCACCTCTCGGCTTTGCTAATTCGCGAGTTAGCCATTTTCTCGCTAAAAAATTTCCCGGGGCTGTACGTGAGAACCACGCACACCTGGAGGCTGAATTTGAAATCTGAGTTCTATGTGGGCAAGGAACATAACCTCAAAATTTCAGCTTTCTACCTTTTCTCGTTCTCGAGTCATCAATTTTCCCGTCAAAATTTTCACCCTCTCGTTCGTGGGGCCCAGGCTTGCGTGAGGGTTGGTATCTAGGGTGGCACTTGGCCCAGGAACTTATTAACAAAATCTTCGCGCTGGGAGTTGTTTGGCTGTCGAGTTGAAATACCCGGACAGACGAACACACACACACGCATAGATAGGGTTGTCGCAATATGCGTTTTTGCAATTTGCATATAGGCAAAAATCCATATAAACTGATGATGGTGTACCTGGAGGTCCACGCCGTCCTAAACACAACACCTTTATCGCAACCGACATCCTTTCTGCTGCATGCCGAAAGGGGCCAAAGCACGGCCAATATGAGCCCAAGTGTTAGATTACAGTGCAGGGATCATCCTGCTATTAGCAGTCTGCGAGTTTCGTGTAAAAACGCATGATCGCGCCGACAAACCTGGTGCGTTCCAGTCTGGGTTATGCGTTTTGTGCTGCAGCAATTGTACAAAGCACATATTGTCGAGACTCTGCCTATGCATGTTTGTGTGTGTGCGCGCGTAAGTGGGTGGGTGTGTGTGTGCGTGTGTTTGGGTGTGCGTGTATGTGTTTGTGTCCATGTGGGTGTATGTGGATGTGTGTGTGGCTCATGTGCATTTTGTCTGAGGTTTTCAACTCATGGATCAAATAACTCGGCAAGTTAGCGAGATCATTGTTTAGGATGTATTAAAGCTCGGGACAACATTTCCAAGATGCAGAAGGAGGGCTGTAAGTTGTTTTTAGGTTTGAAGTCCCACAGAAGTCTGAAATATTGTGCTGCAGCTGAATTATTTGGGCACACACAGGCACAAGCATAGCACACTCACCAAAATGCTTTTTCATAAATGCAAAACCAAAAATTCAAAAGTGAATGCAATTTTAATAAATTTACTATAACTTACTAGGAAGGAGGGATCATTGCGTGGTGCAGAACAGTGAAATAATAAGTTGGTACTAACTCCAGCACACCATATTGTTAGTACTAATGATTTCGTCAGTCTGAAAATGTGTGTTTTTGTCCTTTGAAAGAGTCCTTTGAAAGATTTCCTCTAACTTAACACAGAAAAATCATGCGTATTTTCGTTGCATCTTGGTGAAACAGTAACACGACGCTGCTGCTTTTAATCATCTTGGGCTTCATGGCGGCTCATCATAGTTGACTCAAGAGCTCGGGGCTAAGCAGCTTTATTGAGTTGCACTAATAACTGACTCTCTGCGCAAATCCGATAATCTCCAGTTGTTACATTCCGCAGCTGCACTTCGCATAAATGTGCAAATCCACAAGTTAATCTCCGCCCGATCAGCAGTCGCGAAATGGAGTTGCCCATCCTGTGAAGCCAGGCCTCTTTTTGTAGTGACAAATTCGGTCAGACCGTTATATCAAGGCCATTCCTGTTGCTTCATGATTGCATTTCACAAACAGTTAAAGTCAAAAGTTATAACCTCTTCATATCCACTCTTTATGACAGGCTGAAGTACTCGAAGATATTCTGAGGGTAGCAAATGCCAACAGTAACCACTCGCTGGTAAGGCTGTCTATGGCTTTCCCTTTCAAGGATTGCTTAGGGACAAGCTGATGGCAGGTTTACATCCTGGCATGCGTTAACACAATTTACCTCGAAACGAACAACGAATTCTAGAAGAGTTGATTTTCCCACTGATAAAACTGAAATTACTAACTCTACGCATGGCAGCTGAAATTCGGGCAAATTTGCCAAATCTAATTAATAAAGATTTCGAAAGGTTAAATCGTTTGTATTGCTGTTCTTTCGCTGCAGCTTAATGTGTCTCGCAAAAAAAGAAAAACAAACAGTTTGTGTCTACGGGTTGTTAAGAACTGAAAAAATTGGGTTCCAAATAACCTTTTTGTCCAGATGCGCTCCATTTTGACTGGGGCCAAAATAGCTAAGGCGCGATTTATAGCAATGGCCATATAGTGCGGAAGCGCAATCATTTGAAATGTCGAGAATATGAAACTCGACCAGCGGGCTGGCAGTAAAACCTTACAAAATTTTTTATATAAATCCAATTTTTGGAAAGAACAAACTTTTCCAGGATTTGAATTTATTCTTTCTCTTCTTTGAATTGATTCATTATGCTAATTGCGAAGTTATTTTCCGGATTTGCAGAAAGGAAAGTATTTTCGGGTCTTTGTGGTACTGCAGATCTTGGGCGCAGTATTGTCAATTACAGCTTAGTGAAATTGCAAATATTCAGCAGTAGTTAAGATGACTGGACGGATTTTACAGAGGCGGTAACATTTTCATCTTTTTACTGGATCTTCAGTTAGTACCCACTGGCTGTTCCATGTATTTGTGCCATCTCTTCAGAGGTCGCTCGAGTGGTCGTTTGTTTTCTGAACAAGATTTGCAAAAAGGAAAGTATTTTTCGAGTCCTTGTGGTACTCTAGTGTTTACTCAACAAAGCTTATTAGTGCGACAATGTCACCAAAGAGAGTTTTATTATAGATCAATAAAATTGTTTTATCTTCTCCGGAGAAGAGGTGAGCATGCCGCACTTTTAGGCTCAAGATTGGTGCTGGAAACTGGTCAAGCAGCCAGTAGTGTGGCGGGACTAGGCCACCAAAATTCTTGTAGTAATGAGGAAATAACCTTGCATCTGCAAACTTCAATGCCCAATGCGAAATAGACAAAAAGTGCGCAAATGTCGCAGAAGCTTTGACTTGAAATCAAGATGAACGATGCGTATTTTTGAATGCACTGCACTTCCGCCACTAGCACAACCGCATGCCACAAAGCACAGATTGTCGATAGAACGGAAATCGACACACCGATGATGAGGTGCGTATGATCTGCGGATCGCAGAGTGAGGTGCGGAAGAACTGGCGTCGGGTGCAAAATGCTGTGAAACACCGTCATCTGCAATCTAATCCCTGTAGCTTCGAGTGGTTCGTGGCGAATCTAGTAAGGCACCTCGTCAAACTGCATGTTCCATCTTTGTTAACGATCCTTTGCTCTTGTCACAGATGTGAAACAATTTGAAAAACACCTGATCACGGTTTACAGTTCGGATGCTAAATGCTAGATATAATAACAATAGTTTCCACGGATTGCTAGCTCCCCTTTTTTGAAACCCTCGAAGATGGACATAATTCGTTTCAAAAAGACAGAGCGGTACTTTTAGAAACGCGGAAGAGGACGAAGAAATTTATTCCAAGGCATTTTTCGTACAGTGAGGAACGACTAAACGGTAGGCGCAAGAAATAATTGGCAGAAAACGAGGCAATGACAGAAACACGGTTAAAATCAGTTTAAAGATACTAAGTGTGGAGAAGCATAACGAACTGGTGAATAAATCTAAACGCTGAAATGACGTGGAAAAATTGTAAAAGAATTTTGAGTAGCCGCCGGAATACAGTGGCATTTGGATGCGTAGTTGATTTTTGCAGTTCAGATATGGTTGTCTAGTTTCCATGAAACGAGAAAGAAGAGAAACTAAAGTTAAGTGCAGTTAACTTTTGGTTTGCCGGTCGACAAACTTCGGCAGTTTGTGAGTCTAAAAAGTCTGACTAGTTCAATTGCACTGGTTATGCGTTTCTGCTCATATACAAATGCAAAAACGCATATTGTGACGACCCCGGTGTGTGTGTGCGTCTTGCCTGGGTATTTCAACTCGGCAGCCAAGCAAGTTCCGGCGCCAAAATTTTGTCAATGGGTTCTCCGACCAAGTGCCTCCCCAGGACTGTGATACCAACCCTTATGCACGTCTGGGCCCCACGCACGAGCGTTTGAGACTTTTGGCGAGAAAATCGTCAACTCGGGAACTAGAAAAGCTAGAAAGTTGGAATTTTGCAGTTATGTCCCCGTCCACATAGAACTCAGAGGTTTCAAATTCAGCCCGAGGTATACGTGATTTTCATGTACGGTCTCGTGAAATTTTTTAGGGGGAAAATGACTAGTTTGGAAACCAGGAAACCTGGGAGGCCGGAATTTTAAAGGGATGTTTCCAGCCCACGTAGAACTTAAAGATTTCAAACTCAACCTCCAGGCATGACCCAGGTCACATACGGCCCTGTGAAAGTTTTGGCGGGAAAATTATTAACAAGAGAACCAAGAAAGTTAGAAATATGAAATTTTAACGAAACGTCCCATGTCAAAGTACTACGTAGTTGTGCTATTCACTTCCCGAACTTCGAGGATCAGCGTGTCACAAATCCTAGCTACTTGGTTTTCGAGCGATCTTACTACAGCACGAAATACTGCAAAAACGCATGACCATACGGGTCCACCTGTTGCACGTCGCCAACGATTTTCGACTGCACTGGTCTTCAAAATTTTAACTTCGCAGATTTGTTCATTATCAAAATACAAAATTAGCTTGAAAACGTTCTTTGTGCAACTAATGTTCAAGTTCCCATCAAAAGAAGGCATTCTGTGAGAAACAAGAACAAAACAAAAATGCTTTGTCTCAGACCATGAAGGAATAAATAAGTAAAATGAATAACAAGTAGAAGAGGAGGTCGTACGTATTAATTGCGCGACTAGACAATACTATAAATGCTGAGGGTAAACGGCTAATTTTGAAGAGTTTTTGAATTTGAATTCTGATGATGATGGCGTTCGGCACTATGAGGCAAAGGAGCAGGTGAGAAATAAAAAACAAAATTATCGAACTAAAAGTCACCTGGATAAAATAATCCACATCATTAAATCAGATTCATTTTTCAAACTACTAAACAGACTCACTTTTGAAATAAAAATTTTTCTAAGTGCTTTTTGCTATTAAGAATAAGGCTGCTCATTTACGGAACTGGGCCGCTGCAGCACAAGTAGGCTCATTACCCTTTCATATGCACCATAAATGTCTGCTCTGAAATTTTACGGGAAACTTCCAATACGCCAGCAATGATTTCATAAATCCTAAATCTTAGCACCTCGTCTCATTACGATACGGGAATTGCAAGAGGAGTTTCGAAGTAGCGCGCTATATTAACTTTTTGCATTTTCACAATTTCAGGAAAGTGGTATTTCGCATTTGTACCGGCCAAATTTGGGAATATATTAAGAACCATGACAAAGATAACGACAGCCCCATCCCGTTTTGCAGTTCCCAGTAAACAGAGGAAGGGAGACGAGCTTGCGATGACGATTCCCGCAGGAACTCACTCGAAGCTACTCGCCCTGGACTTAAATACTGGACGGAAGGAGTTCTCATGGTTGTTAATCCAAATGAAGATAAAACATGGAAACATTACAAGCAAAGGCAAAATTAAAGGAGGAAGAGACAAATTAAGAGGACAACTTAGCAATGCTCATCAAATTTGATCAGGAAACCTATACTTCACTTTGGGAATGGCGTAGTATGCGAAAAGACCTGGAACAGGTCTATCCATTGAAAACTGATAAACGTGAAAACGAGTGGACCGATTCACGGCCTACCGAGCTACTGGAATTAGGCCTAACCATAGGAAACGTGAAGGAAGATCAGCAAGACTTTGTCCAGAAGTATGTTAAAATCCGGCAACCACATGCAGGCGAAGGACTTGGAAGTACGGCAAGTGCAAAAACGCATATTGTGACGACCCTAGTGTATGTGTGTGTGTGTGTGTGTGTATGTCTGTCCGGGTATTTCAACTCGACAGCCAAGCAAGCTCCGACGCAAAAATGATGGTTGGCACATTGGGAATGGGAGAGTATTACCACAGCCGCTTGTGGGAAAAGGCGGCATGCCTCATTTGCGGTGAATTTGGACTAGGGACCGGGAGGGTAGAAACCATTGCCGATGCGCACCGGGCGGGCCCGTGCGAACATGTGTTTTTGTAGTGCCTCGTGCTGTAATGAGATCGCTCGGAAACCCAGTAACTAGAAATGTGTGACATACTGGTCCCCAAATTTCGGGAAGTTAGTAGTCTAAGCTGTACTTGGACAGGGGATATTCCCTGAAAATTTCAGTCTACCAGCTTTCCTGGTTTCGAAGTTACACATAGTCCCGCCAAAAATTTTCATTGGGCCGTACTTGATAACCACGCATAACTGGGGGCTGAATTTGGTAAATTTAAGTTGTAGAGAAGCTGGGAACATTCCCTGAAAGTTTTAGCCTCCCAGCTTCCATGACTCCCCAGTTAGCCATTTTCCAGCCAAAAATTTTCACGGAGCTGTGCGTGAGAACCACGCACGTCCAAAGCTGAATCTGACAAATTTAAGTTGCACATGGGCTGGAAATAGCCTCCCGGTTTTCCCGGATCCCAAGTTAGCAATTTTCCCGCCAGGAACAGTCAAGGGGCCGTACGTGAGAACCGCGCACACCTTGGGGTTGAATTTGAAATTTTTGAGCTCTATATGGTCAGGGAATATAACCTCAAGATTTCAGCTTTTCAGCTTTTCTGGTTCCTGAGTTAATAATTTTCCTGCCAAAAATTTCACGCGCTTATACGCGGAGCCTAGACGCGCATGAGGATTGGCACAATGGTCCTGGGGTGGCACTTAGCCGGGGAACCCACTCGCAAAATTTTGCTGTCCGAGCTTGCTTGCGTGCCGAGTTGAAATACCCGGATAGACACATACGCACATACACACACACACACGCACACACACGCACACACACACACACACACACACACACACACACAC